AAAACGAACTTATAAGCACTCGAGTGTGACGCGAGATGTGAATTAAATTTCGCGAAACCCTGATTTTAAGTGCGAACACACGCGAATTAGATGAAATCGAAATTGATATGTAATATTAATGAACATTTTTTTTTTGTTTTTTTTGTTTTTCAATTACCATATATCTATCTTGCATGTGGTTTTCACACACATATCCATACGTGAACCAGACGCAGTGTAATATTAAACATGTAGAGAACACAAACATATTACATATGTGACATAAACATATTGCATATGCATAAGTAACTGATTAATTAATGAAACAAAATTATTTTGCAGTAATATACGCTTGTTTGTATAAATTATTCTGTTGTTTTAAACGTAGAACAAAATATTGCACAATTAATAAAAATGACGAAAAAAACTGTGCGTTAGATTTTTACTTTCAATTTTTTTATAATAAAAACAAACGATATGTGTGTACACGTATGATTAAGCGATATAATTTTGTATTATTATAAGTAAAAACTTCAATTAGATTGCGATACATTATTTTAATGATAGATGTAATAATTGCTGCACATGTTTTATGTCGCGTTTCACGCTTCGATACAATTTATGTATCCTTTAATTTGTTAATTCAATGAAAATGTAAAATTTATAAAAACGTTATCACGTGTGTGAAAAAATTTACGATATCGCGAGTAGTTTATACACGACAGAATATCCCTTTTTTTTTTTTTTTATATTTTTCACAGTTTATTGATGCCGTTGAGAATTTCATTTTGATATATAGTCCTTTTTTTTTTTTTTTTTTTTCATGTATCTCCGTAACGAATGATATCGTTCCCGAGCGCTGTCACGGAAGTAATTCGGACTCCCGACGTAAACGCGATAATGCGAATGCTGTTTCGACTCGATTAATCAACGCGCGATACTCGATGTCGCTTTATTGAATGATAAATTTTACGTCGGGCGTAATTTCCCATCCCGCTACGGCGGGATAAATGGCGCGGTAATGACTAGGAAAAAATATCTGCGCGTTGTAACAGATGTTACATATCGCAAAGGAGTAAGGAGGGTGGGGCAAATAGTAAAAACACGGAATAGTTTGCTCTTTGGTTCGCTAACTATGTGAAACAATAAACGTCGAACGGGAACGTAAAATTCTGTATTTTCCGTATCTCTAGAAATTCACGAGCCCGCAATTCCATGTAATGTTCCATCGATCTCGCGGCACATTATTCGTGGAAAACTTATCACTGTTTTCTACGTGCTGCACAGAGACATCTCGTAGGTCGCACATACCTGGAATTGTTTCCCGAACATTATTCTTCTCTTTTTCTACATATTTTACTCGATTTTGTCAAAACTTCGTACAAAACTGGTATGTTTGAACTTGAAAAAATTTACTGAGTTTTTCTTTTCACGTCTTAGAGAATAAAAACAATATAATTTATGTTTTATACAATTCTATAAAATTTTGACGCTGTTAAGAGAGAATTGCTATATTACCGTTGTCTAACACCTTAAAACAACAATATGTGGATGCAACAATGTATGTATGGGGAGAATAGGGACATTATAATTCGCAAATGCAAACGGTCAATGGCAGAAACGTTTTGCAGAACAACCAACTCTCTCTTTCTCTCTCTCTCTCTCTCTCTCTCTCTCTCTCTCTCTCTCGCACAGTTCGATATCGTAAGTAGGACGTGAACCTAGATAATTGTGCGCGCGCACTCATGTGCATGCACATGAACATTTCTATACATTTGTACGCGAAATCTTCCGTGAAGCGTGTGGTTCCGAGTCGTGGGACCACACGCTAGAAGCGAGAAGATACGCAGGTGTTGGTCGCCGAAACTGTAAACGCGTCACGCGTCGCCAGATGCGTCCAAGAACTATGACGGAACGTGCAGTTTGTTTTTCTTTTTTTTTTTTTTGATGGGATATTATCGGCAACAGGTGTAAATTTAATATATGGTGAACTTCGGTCGGTGTGTGCCATCTGTCTGGCCGCAAAAAAAAAGTCGATTTGCTCTGTCATTAATAAGCACCTGTCAGAAAATTTCTATCCACTTTGGCTAGGTGGTTGGTAATACTTTCCGGCAACGTCTGCCGCAATTTCTCGCACATTTTCAAACAGATATTTCTTCACATTTATGAGTCATTTTTCGTCAGGATATCCATTTGCAACAATGTATTTTATAAATTTTCGAACAAACTCATCAATTTTGTAATTCAACGTTTTAACATAAAGACTTTCCGTCGTTTCCGATAGCAATTTTTTTCTCATCTGTGGTTTTGCCAATAGAAAATATTGTTCACTATTAATTCGCGTGAGAAGAAGAGTGTGAGAATCTTCAAAAAAAAAAACGTAAGAAAAAAAATCGACATTTAAAATTGAAATTTATTTTAATAGGTCGAAAGGTTTTCTCCCTTCAAATGCTGACTTCGCGGCACAGAAAGACGGATGCATTCGGCGAAGAAAAAAAAAAAAAGTGAATCGGGCGGATTATTGCTACGCCGAATGCCCGGGGGCAAGGACAGGGGAGGCGTGATGCAGCCCGTTAGGAGGAGGTTAGGGTTTAGGTACAGAGGTCGGAGGTCAGAGATCGGAGGTCGGAGGACGCGGAATGATGGTCGGAGGACGGGCCAGGGGCCCGGCGAAACCGGGAGGGAAGAAGGGGGTTGCAGCCTGGGAATGATCAATACTACTCGTACGCCAAGTTCCCACGAGAGTAGCGAAGATGGGTCGAGGAGCACGCGAAATTGAACGTTTTCGATTTGCAAGAACGACGGAAAAGCTCGCTCTCGCGACGGACGGGGAGGGAGGGGACGACACACATATAAAACGATTTTCCTCGGTTATCGATGTTTAGCATCGGTACGCGCCCGTGTGTCGCGATATCCAACATCTCGACTCGGTCTCCTCTCGAGTCGCGTCGCGTCGATGGGGGATTTCTATTTATTTTTTATTTATTTATATTGCGATACAACATATATATATATAATATAGCGAGGTATGTAGCGAGGAAAAGAAAAATATATAATACAATTCGCGTATGTGTGGTCAATTGGATTTGCGTTTGAAAATTCGGATTTCACGCAAAGTACAACTCGATTGCACGGTATCTGATGATGAACCACGCGATTTTAACTTTGTTACTACTTTGAACTACTCTTTTTGAAGCGTTTTGGTATGTTTATCAGCGATTATTCGTTTCGATAGCTTTATATGTATACGACGCGCGGAGTAAGGCTGGGTTAAACATTCAAATGAAGTTAAAGTAGATTTGCAATTACACCTTTTGATTTCAAATTCCAAACAGCTTATTTTAATAAAAATCCTGTTCCGACTCGCGCACTCAACGGAGAATTTTATTAGCACAAAGTGTAAAGTGAGAAGGTTAGCGAAAATATATATCTCGCTCTTTGATTATTTTCTATAAATTAAAGTTGCTTGTATTTTTTTTTAACAGAAAAATGTACCTGAAACTTTTTTTTACTTTGAAGAGAAACAGATATATATAAGAGTGAGAAACTAAAAACTGTTAATTTTGCAAAAGTTACTTTGGAATTAAATTCAAGCGGTGCGATGCTGAGTGAGGAAAACAATTAGGACATTTTTTTTTATTATTCAAATGAATTCACTTCGGTGTGAATTATAAACGTTAGGTTATCATTCTGTAAATTTTGTTTCGCACACCACAAAAGATATATCGCGCGTATCCTCTCGTCTGACACGGACGAAAATTTATTATTCTCTGATAATACTTTCCGCTTTTTTTTTCGCGAAATGAATAGTTAAAATGCTGTATCGACTTATAACGGATCAACGGTTGCTTTGGGGATTTGATTGCAGCATCGCGAATGGCGCGAAATGCGTGCTGCGAGACGGCGCGTGCATTGTAACATCGCGCGCGCGCTCCGTGCCGTCCGATAACGCGCGCTGAAATATTAACGACACAAAGCGCACGTGGACTCTCAAGGTTCTCTCTCTTTCTCTCTCTCTCTCTGTTTCTCTCTTTTTCTCTTCTCCAAACAGATAGAGAGAAACATGCGCCGACGCACGTCAACACAAATACACACACACCCACACGTGCGAATGAAACGACAAAGCCGATAACGAAAATGCGCGAACTCGTAAAAAGCTCTCGGTAGAGTAACCGATTTTACGATACACGCGTTTTATCGCCGTCAGAATTTTGCGGTATCCTACCATTGTCGTCACACGACAAAAGAGAGAGAGAGAGAGAGAGAGACGAGTTTTGTAAGTGTTTAAAGAAAGTTACAGAATGATAACTAATAAAACTTTATTTCCCCGTCACTCGCCTCTTTCCGATTTCTGCGTCTGCCGATATATTAATAACTTTTGTTCAAACTTTCTATCACAGATATGTAAGGTATAATAACTTTTGTTAAAAAACTTTTCACATATCGCAGGTAAAACAGCAGTTTTTGTAAATATTTTCTATATTTATATTTCTGCGTTTCTAAACACAGAAGAAGTTTAATCTCTTGATCGCGCGCCTAACACTCTCTGTGTTTCTGCTCATATCACAAATACGAATCCTTTTCTAATCCTTTCTTAATGTGCATTTTAAAGCACGTGCATTATAATTTTGCGCCGTATTTGCGAAGCGACTTTTTCGGGTCATTAAGCGGAACGTATATATCGGAGTTATGAACACGCGCATATTTTGCTCTAATCCGACGAAAAATTCTTGTACTTTCAAACTTTTTTAGACTTCGCATATCTTCGAAAAGAAGAAAACACAGACGTGAAAAACAAACACAAACGCTTTTCTCTTCATTTTTCCAAATCGATCGAGAGACTAAAAAAAGAAGTCGATCGGTTATTCGCTCATTACTGAAATATGAATATTTCTTTTTTTTTTTTTTTTTTTCCACAAATGTCAAGTTTACGTAGTAATGGACCGCCGTGCCTCTTGATACGAAGTAATAAGAAGTGTGTTCCTGTATTATTTTCTAGTCCCGTTTCTCCGAAGGGTCACGTTCTCAGAGGGTTCAAAAAGACGCTACTCTCTCTCCTCACTGATCTCCCGATGTAGATCTCCTCCTCGAAACGAAAGAAACGAGTTGCCACGCTGATTGATTGCCATGCGAGTCTCGCGTGTATAGGATGTAGATTCCCTTTCCCCGCGCGTGAAGGCACGCCGCCCACGAAGGCATCCTTTCCCTTCTCTCTTTCTTTTTAGATTGATGGTCGATAATCACGAATAAGAGCCGCTTTGGGTCCTGATCGAATCGGACGCAATCGTCGCTCGCGATCGCGATCCACAGCGAGGGGTCGTGAATAAGACGCCTCGAAACAACCGACCGTGCGAAATCGCATTGGTGTGTGTTTTTTTTTTTTTACATCTTTGCGCGCTTTGAACGACACGGAACGGAAACGAGAGAGAGAGAGACGGAAGCCCAAACCAGACGGGAAGTGTTCGATTCAGGAGCGCGCAAATCCACCACCACGTCACGGCGGGGCAAATGTTCTCGACGAGCTTTCGCGAAATCCCGCCGCCGAGCAACAGCAGCGCATCTGAGAAAAATCGCCGCCGGCTGGACACCAACGCCGGCTTACTTTCCGGTTCGTTTCCGGTGCGGCCGGACGGCACGTCATCATCATCATCATCGTTGCCGTCCCGATGAAGTGAGCCGCGCGCGTCAGGCCTGTTGACTTCCGAGCTGACGATGCGTCACGTTCAACCGGCTGTGCCCGTATCCAAGCACTTGAAACGTATATATATTATCGATATATAGTGTTCCAAACGCGCGTCCTATCGTCGATATTTAATAATCAATTTTAACGCGTACGCTCGCGCTGTACAAACGTTTGGAAAACGTCGGAATTGGTCGAGATCAAAGAGAGATACACGTTAAAGAGAAAATAGAATTGAGGTCGAGAGGACGCAAACGGGCGACCATCACGAGAGAACAAGGATGACGACGACGACGAATACGACGACGACGACGACGACGACGACGATACGATAAGCGGTGTAGTTAAAACGATAAGGGTTGCAACACGGATAGTGTGATCGTCGCGCATAACGTCAGAGAGAGAGTAGCCTTCATATAAATTACCGTGTGTATACATACAAGGTATATACAGAGCGCACAAGTATATAAGTACGAATAAACATTTGTAAATATTGTGATACGCAACACACGTAATCGCGGAGCACGCGCGCGCGCGCGCGCGCGACAAGCAATAACGAGAGAACAATAAAAAACAAAACAAAAAAAAACGATTACAAAAAAAAAAGCGCATTATTGTTAATCGTGTTACGTCACCGTAACGGATTTTATCGGTGATATACCTGTTATATATACCTGTGTTCGAAAGAGCTTTGTTAATCGTTAAAAAAAACCGCTCTCGAGACGAGTTTTACGCTTATTACCACCGGGAACCGTCGAAAAGACTGCGCCCAGACGACAAGATGGCGTTTGCCGCGGCGAGGATGATCCTCAAGGACAAGCGCAGGAAAGCTAGCAAAGAGGACTTCGCACCGCGAAACAGAAGCAAGGTAAAAAAAAAAAAAAAAGCACAATTTTGCGTGTATGTGTATGTGTGTGTATGCGTGTGTATATGTATGTGTATGTGTGTGTAATACATCCATCAAAAAAAAAAAAACTCTGTCATTATTTACGAGAACACACATCGCGTTCCCGCGTAATGTTTCGAGGTGCGCGTAGAAATCGCGCGGAAGAAAGTTTTTCAAATAAATTTGTCGCGAGATATATTCGTCGCTGTAAATAAATAATTTTTCCCACTCCCTTCGGAGTGCGTTTTCGAAGGGACTTTTCCTCTCGTCTGAAAACAAAACAAAAAAAAATTATTGAGAACCACTGGATTCCTCGCGCGGGTCAAGAAATAAACGACTCGCTTCTCGTTTGTTTGGCAGCTGCGAGAAAAAAAAAAAAACTCGATCGCGCGATGAAAACAATCGCCGTGAGCGAACATTGACACGCCGAATTTAAAATAAAAAAAAAAACATTAACGCCCGCGCATTATCTCTCTCTTTTATCGCGTTCCGGCATCACACGTTGAAGAAGACGGAGGGGGGCGTTTAGCATCCCCCCTGAAAACGCTCGCGTCGAGAATGCATATTAAAACGCGCGCGCGCGCGCCGGCTGCTGATATCGCACGCGGATCACGCGAGACGTAAGGTAAACGAGTCGGGGCTCGTTGTTTTTACGGTCGCGTAATTAATTTCGCGCGGAACGATCGCGGCGTGGGATATACACAGTTTGTCCGGAAAGTTCCCGGACTGATTTTTTCTAGCGCGGGTAAGCGGCGCTATCGAGCGGTCAACGCTGGAACTACTTAGTA